GTCTGTCTACTCATGCGCACAGGACATCTCAATTTCCCGTGCATCAAACGGTACTCAATGGTCACACGACATGGGTTCAATGACCGGAATATGCACCGTATGTACTTTGACAACTATTGTCGTTCCCTTGTTGGATACCATGGTTACAAAGTCGATAAGATGGAATCAGTATAGTGTCTGCTCTAAAAGCCCGGACCAGAATATATTCATAAGTGACTCCGTACACATACCTAACATTGACACAATATTTGAATGATTTTTAAGCAACTTTGAAATTCAGTTTTTCAGACCTAAATTATTCATATTTCCCACTGGTTGCGTATACCACAAGATTCAGCACTTCCGTTTTTAGTGCATTCTCGGAAAATAACAAACTACATGTATATGTATAATTTATGTGTTAAAAAACTTAATTTATTCATTTTTTCAAACAATTTACCAGTTATCTTCTCGAATACTCGGGTGACGCACGTTGTGCTGAGCGACACTATGTGGTTGTTGTTGTGTGTCCCGTTGATTTTTCTGTTGAAGTGGCACTGGTGTGATATTGACGGGGATGTTGATAGTATTTGGGATGTTGATGATCGGCCGTGGTGGTGTGACGTGATGCGGGGTATTCGACGTTGAGACTGGCATTGCAAACGCGACGCGAAGATCTCCGACTTTACTCGCTTCCGACGGTTTCCGCGCGCCTCTGACATTGTTCACATCTGGAATCAGATGAGAATTTTGGGACCTTGCAGCAACTTTCCTTTGTGGTGCGTTCAACGCTGTTTCTCTGTTTTGCGTTTGGGACGCCATTAGCAGAGCACGCTCTCTCGCTGTCATGTACGGTGGGCATTTGACCATGATCACTCTTGTTATGACGAAGGCAACCAAGACAAATGAACACGTACACAGCGCCACCTTGGCGTAAAAATTCCAATATTCATATCTCGTTGTGAATCGCGTACAACTTGAGTAACCGGCGGTGATACTGCCACCAGCGTTCAAAGTCAAAATACATACGCTATACTTTTGCCAAAATTCTAAATTCTCAAGCAGAAACGACGAACTGTCTACGTCATAAATATCGACTTCTTTATCATCGTACTTAACTCGGTAACCCACGAAGTCGGTCATAATGGGCGGTTTTCGCCATGCTACACGAGCGGACGTAGCTTGAATGTCTTCCGGCTGCGTGTCGGCAGCGGCGAGGATTGAGAAATCGTACTCGCATGGATGAAACTGCTGCGATTTCACGAGAGTCTGCAGAAGAAACAACGCTACCAGGAATCGCAGAAAAGGCTCCGCGATTCTTATAGGACGCATCCTCAGTACTATTTTGGTGCGCAATAGTGTGTCTGTAAATAAAAAAAGAAGTTAATTTTTGAATCGGCGAGGGCGGACTTTCATCAGCCAAATATATATGGTTACCAATAATGAAGAACTGAATTGGTTACTAAAATTCTAGCTAGACATCCGAAACTTTCTTTCGGAGTAGTATCGTGGGTTATGTACGGTTGATTTATTAATATAGACTTTAATGATCAAATTACGATAACTGACTCGGATATTTGACGGGACGTTTGAGTCGTAATTAACAAGCGAGCACATTTTTTTCAGCTATAAATATATATAATTTTACTGAAATATACTCTTAGTATGTGGTTATCGTGACTCACTCACCACATAGACAATTTTGGCTCAGTGTTAACGTTGTTGAAAACTCTGCTTATACGCCACCACAGTATGCGCAAAATATGTCACATACTAGTATATATCAACAGAACAGTGGTTCGTTTTTCATTATAATGGCGCTTTAAACTAACCCAGTTACAAAAAGACAGAATGCCATGGACATACTAAACAATTGGTAAAGACCATCAAAGAACACGACACGGGTACAAAAGATTCGCCGTGTAATAGTCATTTAGTAAAGAAGGTGACACTTTCTAGTTAGACATAGTTGCCACGCATGGTTTTTAGCGTGGAAAAAATTCCCTTGTTAAACTCCAGGTGGCACTAAAATGCGGAAAGGGTGTGCAGCATGTACTTATAAGGGAACACTTTCGAGCGTGTTATTTTTACAGACATGCCAAGCAACTCAAATTAATTTAAACATTAAAACAAGAAAAACAAAAACAAAAAACAGTCAATGTAGTTTTGTAATGTTTCACCAACTATGATTGAGCCCATGCCTACGGAGGAATACTTTTAGAATAATACTAGTATTATCCGAACTTACGTACTATCATCTACGCTATCGAGAAATGTCTCATCCAGAACAGAGAATTGATGTTCGAACAGTACGCATGACGGACTCTTGGCGCTAGCGGACCCACGCGTGTGTTTGGTAAACCACACCCGGTATATCGGATACTGGGTCGACTAGGAATGAATACGACTGTAGGCGATACCGACCACGGGTAATGGGGGTAAAATATAAATATGTGGCATACCTTTCAACGTAGCAATTCACTTTCCTTCATTTTGTTTCTGTTGTGTTGTTTATTTGCGCTTTTTAGAAAGCACCAGGTGATGAAAACAATGAGGTCTTGGAGATAGAACGTCGATTGTTCCACGACACCACGTAATATCGTTTACAACACGTTAGCAACCGTGTTTACATCGGCAACTCGCTTTGACAAAATACTATTAACAACTTTGTGGCAATGTACCCAGCACAGTATACGTTTAAAAATAAACACATTTTTTTGGCGCGTATCATTGTGAATGTTCGTCGTACTCGTGTGTTCATACGGGGTTCCTATGTTTGGAACTGGGTAAGAGAATCGTTCTGTTACTGCGCGCTTTGGAAGCTCCCGAAAACGCCATCTATGGCAACGTTCCGCATTTCGTTGCCGCCCA